AATCCAAATAGGTCTAACTTTGCCTTCTTTCTTTAGAGTAGTGGAAAACTCTTTATTCAAAATAATACTTTTTAAATCTACTATCTCTAGGTAAAGCTATCTTATTATGTGATTTAGGATCTTGAACAATTTCTGTAAGCTTATCAGTGAAATTTGCAATCTTTCTTTCTAACCTATTAATCATGTCTGTATCTATACTAAACTTGTCTTTACAGATCCAGCATCTATCTGCCTTTTTAAACTTTCTTTAGTAGTCATCTGTAATAATATGCTCATGCTTAACAGCTAAGACTTATTTATTTTACCAATTCTTGATCAATCTTTCGGATGAATTCTTCTGTGATATTTTCTCTGCAATATAAGAAAGGACCCTATGTTTCTTCAATATCAATCCAGTAGACTTTATAGCTAAAACTATTAGCTTCTTCCTTTGCTATCTTTCGCATATTTCCATCATAATGTGTATCACACTTCTTCTTTAATGATTCGAAATAAGCAATGACAACACATGAGGCATTGATCTGATGCCTATAATTCCTAAACTCTTCAAAATCATTAACAACTTTTACAGGCATGGCATAGTGACTCTTTGTGAGGCTTTACCAATCCAAAACACCATTGCTAAAAATGTTCTAATGATTTTATAGATGGAAAACTTTGAAAACATCGGTTGTATAAATATTTCTTTTCTTTATGAGATGTATTCTTATTTACTAATCCATTCAGATTCTTAATCCGGAGGAAGTGATTCTTTTGCCTATACTTACTTTCCTCTGATTTGGTAATATCTGTAAAGGCCATAAGATGGATAATATGTTATCTTTTATAGTTTTTACTATAAAGAATGGGTTAGGGATACGTGTTTCTTTTTCTCACTTTCAGATATTTATGAAGATATCTGGATTTATCTCCTTAATCTTTTGAAATTCTCATGGACAAATTGGAGTAAGCATTGGGATTCCATTGAGCTTGATCACATCTAAATATGGTTTATATTTTGTAGCTTGAAAGATTTGTTTAAGATGATCTGTATGTTTATTCTGATAGATGAAATAACAACCTAAAGCATCTTGAAGACATTTTTTAGAAGGCTTTTTCGTCTCTGGATCAATGAGATCTTTATTATCTTGATTGATTATGCACTTTGTATTGAAGAGTTTTTTGGGAGTATCAATGTGAGAACCTCCAAGAGCTTGACAAAGTATATATGACTATATAAGTATCATTTTTAACTGAAAAAGGATTTTACCTGATTCTTCTTTCAAATATCTCTTGATCTTTTGATTAATTTATACACCAGATTGGATTATATGTTTATCTATATATTGTTCAAAAAAAATTTCACATTGTTGGCTTCTATAATATGAATGATGATATTTGACAATATAGTTTGCCTAATCTGAAAGATCACCTGTTCTTTTATAAGAATATTATACATATGTAGCATATATAACCAATGTTGATTTTATTTGATTCCTTCTTTGAAGCTCTTCTTTGAGAATATCTGTAATTGCATCATGTGTTAATGCTATGAGGTGAGACATATATGATGCATTTGCATATTCTTTCAAATTGTTTTACTCTTTATTGAATGCATATTTTAGATTCTTATATGAAGGAATAACCCTCTCCTATATAGTCATACAATTAAGAGAGCTATGTTGTCTTGCAGGATCACGCTCTCTTTCCAAAAATACTTTATTATCATTGGGTGGTTCCTCTTCTTTGTAAATTCCTTTTGCTTTCTTATAAATTAACTGGAAATATTTTCCCTTAGCAAATTCCTTTTGTACTTCATATTCTTGTCTATGAGCTTAAGTTAAAGGACCGAGTCCAGCTTCAGAATCTTCATTCTCCTTTTAACTAGAAGTCTTAGAAGCTAAAGCTTGCATCTCTTGAATAATAATTTTAGGATCTGGTCCACATTGATTTTTATTACTTTTATAATGCTGATGAAGTTTATCAGGTCTTGTAAATTTATAATCGCAATCTTTACAAGTACAATTTTTCTTATCACTTCTAGGTATGATATTAATAAGTCTCATCTGTTATATATTGTGTAAACTTTTGTTTAAATAAAATAATTACCCCTTTGGATATATCTGCCGTTCACTTTTCTATATTGCAGATAATTTTATTTAATTAAATTTTTTATTCCTATTGTAAATGATGCCATTTTATACTTGCGACTATCTTCATAACTCTAGCAAGATTTGTGATAAAGCCTGTATTTGACTTGAAAGATGTCGACAATATTGGAAGACTAGAAAATGCTATCCTTATACTGATTGTGACAAACCTATTGCTACAACTTGTGGGCGGTGTGCTAAACATATTAGAGGATACAATGTGATGATAAATTACGAAATAAGGCTCAGAAGTTAGACTTAATAAAAGGTGAGAATTAGCATATATATCTTAGAGGTTTAATTTTTTTGTCTTAGGATTTTTGTAAAGAAAATGAGTTTGAAAGGTTTTCTGTATATTGAGAAATTATTATTATATTAGAACATGCTCAATAAACTTTTGGTTTACAAATTTATTATCCTTTAGAGATGTGATTTAAAGATGCAATTTAGAGGTGAAACATAGCATATAGTATGTATTTTAGGCTTGCATGATCAGATTCAGCTCAAATCGCTTCACTTTGTTCCTTAATTTTTAATGATCCCTCTGAAGGTAAGTAGAATAGCATAAAAGTTATTATTCATATTAGGTTTGCAATGTCAGGTTCAACTTAAATCATGTCACTTCATTCCTTTATTTTCGATGACTCCTTCTAAGGCAAACAGAATAGTAAAAATTTTTGATATATATTATTTGTGATTAAAATTATGCTAGAATGGCTTTAACGAACAGTGTAATTCTTGATATCAGACAGGCTAATTTATAGTCAAGTTTGATATCATTATTTAGATTTGAGTCAAAATTGGCTAGAGGCTTGAATTTGATAGTTGATTCATATAGCTAAAATGGATTTGCGGACGGACAGAAATCTTTCTGAGCACTATTTGGAATTTTATCCTAGAAATCACATTTTTGCCGTAGTTAAGGGATATGATTAAATTATTTTGAAAGAGTTTCAACTGACATCTTTAATTGGTATTAATTTTAAAAAGATTGTAATTATTAAAAATGTAATATAATGCATTTTTGATATTAGATACAAACATCCTACGAAAGTTTCAATATTTATTTGTTTATTTATTAGTCATTAAAAAAAGATTGATGAGTTTAATTTATAATTTTTAATAAATAATTTAAAATTATTTCTTACTTTCTGACTAATTCTTTCTTTATAATAAATTATCTATTTGTTCTTTTTATTATATTTTCTAAAATACTCCTTGTATTCTTCAATCAAAAACTTTTTAATCATTTCTTTATATTTATCTGATGTTAAATATATTATCATATTTAGGAGGAACTTTACAATATTTGAAATAATAAGCTAAGAAGTTTAATAATTAGAATAGTTAATGTAAATTTGCAATATAAATATATTAGTTTTTAAAATTAATTCATATGAATACATACATTTAAAAACCTTTTTTCTTCACCTTTTTTATTATTTTTACTAGCATTATCTTGTTATAATAAATTTCAAATCTTTAAAATACAATCTTTAAGAGCTTTTGACTAAAAATTAATGAATTAAGTTTTGTTATAATTTTCAAATTTTAACTTATTATTTTTTCTAATAATCTTCTTGAGCGATCTTTATAAATAATAAAAATGAAATTAATAAAATTCTGCTTTTAAAATATAAATAATAATTAAATATATGGAAGCTTGTCAATAGAAAAGGAAAAAATTTAAAAAATTAAATTTTTACTTCATTTGCTAAATAATATGATTTTTTTAGTAAAATAAGTTCAGATTTAATTAACATTAACTCATAAAAACTTTTTTTTTTTTAGATTTCCTCTCTTTCTATTGATAAACTTTCATATATTATTATCTGTTCTTTTTTTAGAATATAACATAATTATAAGAAAATTAAAAAAAGAATAAAATATTGATATATAGACAAATTAAAGAAAAGATAGTTTATTTGAAATGGATTTAGATGATTTCTTAAAATGTATTTATATAGGAAATGGTAACTAATAATTATTATTAAGAAAAAAAAATTAATAGCAAATTACTATAGAATACATTAAAATGCAGCAGATTCTAATGCAGTGAATAGCTGTAATTTTACATTTACAACAATAAGAACAATCGTTAAATAAACTAAAAAATGTGACAGATTCTGCTACGATAGTAATTTACATTTGTAACAATTAGAACAATCGTTAAATAAATCAAAATGTAGCAGATTTTGATGTAACAGATAGCTGCAATTTCACATTCACAATTTTGCATTTGTAACAATAAAAATAATCATCAAAATAATGAAAAATGTAACAGATTCTATTGTAACAGCAATTTACATTCGCAACAATTAGAATGATCATTAAATAAATCAAAAATAGCAACTGATTCTAATGTATCATCAAATAAACCAAAAATATGACAGATTTTGTTCAGCAAACAGCTTCATAATTTAATATTTATTACTATAAAAAATAATTATCAAATAAATTAAGATTCCACTGCAGTAAATAAATTTATCTCTCTATATATAATGTACCAAAATTGACGTGAACTATTAAACTTTTATCAATTTTTAATAATTGTATAACATATATCAAGCAATATAAATTTCAAATAAGTCATTTGAAGGTAATTTGCACATTAAGATTAAATTTGGCCAATAGTGTAAATGACTTAAATGACCAAGTTATTTAAAGGTCATTTCAAAGGTCATTTTGAAATAGTCAAATGACCTGGTCATTTGCCATCACTGGTCTGAGCTGATCTTATCAGAAGCAAGCTTTTTGGATCATCGAATCTGATGAAACCTTGGTGAAGATTTTGCAGCTATCCTCAGAGGTCTTGAAGAATGGCTTTATTGATGCCGATCAGCGTGACTTATCTTGTGTTGGCGGGCTTGTATGAAAGCCCAAACTGTTATTATGCCTCGATTTTACACAACCATTGTTAAGATAGATATATTTCTGAGGAAAAAAAGTACGCGGAGTGCATTGTTAATGAGGATATGCTTAATGATGACTTTTTTTCAACCATTTTATTCCAATTAATCATATTTCAGATGTTGCAATATTGGAAGCGTTGTACAAACGCTGTGCAGCTGCAATACGTAAACGCAAACAAAAAGGACAAAAAGGTGCAGATATTTTGTTGCCCGTAAAGCTTTCTGGTGCCTTTACATATATTATTATTCAGTTGAGCAAACAGTAATTACCAAGACAAATCTTCGTGGAAGCTAACATCTGATTACGATTTTAAAGAACAGGATCTTAAACTCAAATATCCACATATAAGCTTCTACTGGCAATTGGCCTCATCTGAACTTGAGAAAGATTTTCCGGATTGGAGATCTAAAGACAACGCCGACACATCGTATATAGATGCATAATCACATACTGTACCTAATATACAGAAGTATGATAAAATTCACATTTATTTCTGTATAAATTAATATGCAAAATTGCTACAAAGAATAAACTAATGATTTCGAAGTAATCGTAGTCTTTATTTACTCAATCGTTAAAATTTTGAGCAAAATATTCAAAAAATTTTCGAGCATACATTTCTGCGCATTATGTCATAGATGATCGACAAACCGATTTTTTATTGGGTCTTGAAAATTTAATACAAGTATGATATTCCCAAAATCTTTTGATTCAATGAGCCAATAAAAAAAGTGTTTTTGCGATAAGAATAGTCCAAAAACAAAATTTCTACTATCGTAAAATTTATTTATTAAAATTATTCATTATACACATTACGTCGCATATATTATTATACAATAGTAAACTAGTAAGTTATTTTAATTCCTCCTCAGGTACAGGACCCAAGAAAAAGCTAGTTAGGGTACATAAAACGAGAGCCCCGGATGAAAACCATAAACAGGCTGCCAACGAAATATATTTAAATAATATCCCACCAACAATCAGTCCAATTAACCTTCCCATAGCATTTGCCATATAATAAAATCCAACGTTCATGGCAACTTTATCTCTATGACAATATGCTAAGATAAGGAATGAATGAATTGAAGAATTTACCGCGAAAATAAATGCAAAGGTAAATAATCCAAGTGTAATTAATACGACCAAAGCTGTACGTTGTGTGACGACATTGATAAATTGAAGTCCAAATGCGATCCCAATCATTACAACTAAAAGAGCAATAGTGAATGGAACTAGAATTTTGCCTGATTTTATTGGATAAATTCGAATTGGTTTTAAAATTAATTGGGGTGTACTTGATTGAATGGCGCCATAAAACATCACCCATCCTGCTAAGAATGCCCCCGTTGCAAGATATGACCTAAAGTAACAAAAAGTTAAAATAACGAATTTTGTACTACAACCAATAAAAACAAGCGTGCCTACCATTCAACTGTGCCTCTCAAATACAAAGGTATTGGAACTTCGAACCACAAATCTCGTGATCCAAATAAAAACATCCTGGCTAATGACAAGATATTTACATCTTTTCCCTAAATAATGATGATTATATAATGTGTTAATATAATTATAAACTTTTATTATTATTATTTTTAAAAATTAAAGTACCTTATTGAAAATTTCTTTAAACGTCAACTCTTTTTTCGATTTGCTAACGGCCAGTGTACGATCAAGATAAAACCAAGCGGGTGGAATTACGATTAAATTCATTATCAATAAAACTGATAAAGCTGGTATATATCCGGCAAATTTTAACAGAAAAGCTCCCCAAAAGAAACCCGCACCTTTAACCGAATTTTTTGCACCTGTAAGCCAAGCCACCAATTTAAAAAGCTTTGATTGATGTCCACTTCCATCTTTTGTTACTAATTTTGTTACAGACTTTCCTCCTAATTTTACCATATCTTTAGCTATACCGCTAAACCCTTGAGCTATAATAATATAAATTATTACAACAGTTTTACTCCAACTTGATTGTAAACCACAAAGTATTCCGATTCCTATTACTTGCGACAAAAGTCCTACGAGAAGACAAAATCTTAAACCTAGTCGAGATCCAAGGATACCGCCAATTAGATTTGTAACCACACCAAAAAATTCATATAGCGTAAACATTAAAGATATTTGCAGCGCCTAAAAGATTACTTAAGATTGTTAGTTTGAATCTACTTTTAATAAAACAAATTTATTTTACAAATTACTAACATCAAACTTTCGATTAAATAGTTCTAATAAAACGATCATTCTTAATCCTGAATCCGTTAATGTGAAAAGCAAATATCCACACGCAATTACATAAAAATTCCTCATGGGAACCATGGGAGTTGTAGAAGGTTCATTATGATTTGATTCATGCTTCTCAACATCTCGATTTGAAGAGGGGTCAATTTCATTGTTATTAATTTCATTAGAAATTGGCATGGTGGGTTCATTTGACATTCTTTTTTTTTTTAATTTATTGATTATTTATAATTCCTTTTAATTTAATTTTACTTTTTTTATAAAAAAAGTAATATTGAAGCATGGTATATTTTTATCATATTTATATTCGATTGTTTATTTACTTACCTGACCTGGTTAGGATAATTTGCTTTTAGTGTAATTTTAGTGATCGTAAGGTAAAAATCAAATCTAAACGCTATTGGATATATTGGATTAAAAATTCACCAAATTAAGTAATTTGAGATTGATCTGCTTCATCATCATTAACGAATTTCAAATTAATTAATCATTGGCTGAATGAATTTCAAATTGAAATAATAGAACAATAGATTATTTAACACGGTTTTCATTGGCTCTTGATTAATCATGGAATACACGTGAATGAGCGAGAACAGTCATTAATAAGATTGACACTGATAAAAAAAAACGGAATATAAAAAGTTTTAAATCATCAATTGAATTAAATTGTTTTCTTGTATTAAAATAAATGAATTTAATAAAATTTTGAACAAGACAATCTGTCTGTCTTTCGCAGGAATATTATTCTCAAAATTATCATAGTGGTCGCAAATATTTATTTGTTATACGTCACGTAAAGAAATTGAACGATGATGCGAAATGACGCTTTTCGATCATCTCCTACACACTCTCTATGTATCCGTATATACCTAATTTTATCTATGCATTTAATTATGAAGCATAATTCTAGTTCTTACTGGTTCGTTAATATATCCCCTCTTCAAAAGTATTAAATAGCACTATTATTTTGCTTAGCTTCAAATTATAAAGTCACATGATACCGGAGATTTTACCATCAACAATCAAATCATTTATCTTTCTAGAAAGGTGATATTTATACAGGACCATTAAAAAAATATCTGTCATGGGACGGTAATAAATTGAATTAAGAAAATGTTCGTTTAATTGGAAAAGAATATCTTGATTTTTCTGACATCAAATTTATTATTGTCTCATTTAATCAAAAATAGTCATGTGATCAAGGTTATATGTAGTCTCGTTTTATTATTTTTTTTCTTTACTCTCCTTAGCGAAATTTTGCTGGGTTCATCGTTAAGTTAGTTATATTAGTAAAACTTATGCACCTTTTTTATTAATATTGCTCGCCGACACTAGACAGAGAAAGGGTGATGACGCAGTATTACATTATCAGACACAAAATCTGAAACTTTGTAAAAGAGCTAATCCTTTATCCTTTTTTGTACAGTCCGAAAAAGGTGTCCACCTTTTTTTTTAAATATATGAATGGCGATTCGGTCATTTTTTTTTTTATCCAACAATTATAGTACAGAATTTCTATTTCTGATTGGTTCGATTCGAACAGTCACGAGCTGAAGTAAAAATCTATGTACATTACATAATTTTTTGGTTGATAAATTTGTTAAAAGTCTTAAACGATTTCCAAAAAAAAAAAATTAAGACGAATAACGTTTAAAAAAAAATTAACTCGTTTATGCATTTTGATATATAAAAGTAAAAAAAGTAAATTTACTTCATTGAAATTCTATACTTTCTTCTTCAAACAACTATTACAACCACAACAAATTCATTCACTTTCACAATCATCACAGCCCTATCTGGATGAATACTTTCTCCACTATGAAAAGAAAAAAAAAGAAAAAGGTATATATTATTATTAATAATTTTTTTGATAGAATTTTTCATTATATAAAGCTCATATTTAGAAAATTAGTCGTGTTGTTTCATAAATTATTTATAAAATTGAAGAGAAGATAAATATCAAAATTCCTTTTTTTGCTTAATTTTTCTTGCTTTACAGTAATAAATTTTACCTTATTTATAAAGATCAAATCGAAATTAAATCAAAATAAATAAAAAACTCTAAATAAAATGAACGTTTAAAAAGTTATTCGGAGAATTTAAACTTAATCATAAAAGGTCTAACGAAACTAAAAATAAAAAATTCAATGCCGATGATGCTAATAATCCAAGAATAAAAAATCAAAAGAAGATAAGCATAAAGGATCCAACATAAGGTTGTAGGACGATACCCCATTCCCATTTGGCAAAGGTTGAAACTTTTCGAAAATAATTTTGACAGTTTCGACGGGTTTCAACAATTTCATATTTCGACGGAATTCGACTATTTCAACTTCCAACAATTTCGAATTTTGTTGGATTTCGAAGGTTTCAACAATTTTGATTACGAGTTTGTTTCTGACCTAGACAGAGATTCGGATAAAATTCTTAAAGGTTTTGATCCGTCGAAGCATTTTGCCACCCGTCGACATTTCGTGGTTTTTTTCTACCTGTCGAAACCTCGGGGCGTTTTACCAGGTAATACTATCACTTAGCTGGCTTCATTTTTTTCGAAATAATAATTAATGATGCGATGCATTATCGATAGAGACTGATATAGCATCTCCAAGGTAAATATATATACAAAGAGACGCACTCGCCAGTCGAGTAATTTCTGCATTAGTTGCATTCTCCTTATTTTCACCCATAAAAAAAATGAAAATCTTTCTACGATCATGGTGATTAAACAACCATGACCCGGTGCACTGTCTTTTTGCGAATTAACTAACGAAGGTTTTTTATTTGGTCATTATAGCTTAATAAATAAGTTCACAAATAATTTTTTTCTCCGGCTTCTTTGCAATTCACTGATAAGTTTGTCATAAGATTTCTACGTGAAATTACTAGTTATAGATCATATGATCTGTAATGTGCGATCAACATATATATTCCATAAATAGTGTTTGATCATGAAGGTCATGAATCCCACAATTTCAAATTTTTTCACATTTTATATAAATAAGAATAGAATAAATCCGTTTATTCCTTAGTTTGCATTCACTCTTGTGGGTGTTTATGCTCCCTCTTGTGGAGGGGGGCGATGGTTATAGGTAGACTCTTTCACCATGTCTTCGGATAGGTAGACGGATTCACCATGTAGTCTAGTCTCCCTTTATAAGTTGTAATCCTTTATATATTATAGCGGGTGGTGTAATAAGTGGGGTTAAACATAATAAAACAAAATTTTTGACTATGTAGTAAAGATTTTGTCATATCGGTTCTTACAAATAAATAATAAACTTTATTATTCTGAAATTTTAATAAATACTTTAATAATCATATGGAAATACTTTTGATAAAAATATAACAAAATGATCAATATTTTATGTAATCCATTGTTAAAAAATATGATAAAAATATCTTGTTATCAAAGATAAAATCGAATTGCTTTTTCGTAAAAAAGGTTCATAGAACTTCATAGGGCTACTTTAGGACTAATTATGATAGTATTGATGACTTTAATAGTAGTTTCGAGATTTTTATTGTTCATTTGTTTTTAAATTGAAAGCGAAATGAAATTACATTAGAAGTATTGTATTTGCTTTTTTTTTAAAAAAAATATATATTATGTTTTTTATCTCTCGAGTTTGTATTCGTGACGATAATTAGATGATCAAACGAACGTTAGTAAAAAAAGATTACAAGCTGGAATATGGTATCTTAAATTACTTAAAACATTAAAGGTGTCATACTATTAATTCTTTTTAATTTCTGTAACGCTGTAACGTTAAAAAGGGTGAAAATTATATAAGCGTATCCACTTTTGGGTATCACTTGTTCAAAGAATAATAACCTATCTAAAAGACTAAGGTAACCTTGAGGTTTCGATAGGTGACAAATATTTCGACAGGTAGTAAACCCATCAAAAACCTTTAATAGTAATTTTCAATTACCCTCAAAATATAATTCATTTCGGATACATTACAACCTCTTGAAAAATTTTCTTAAATATAGAATATATCCTAATCTATTTCTAGGAACAAAAAAAAAAAAATTTACAAATTTAGTTTTTTTTGAAATCTTAAATCACAAATCGTCAAAATTTTGAAATTATCAAACTTTCAAATGTTATTCAAAAAGTTTCATTATAATGCTAATGATTTCTCTACTATTAAATTTCCAAAATAAGATTTCATATATTTCTTCCATATCGATAATACATTGCAACAAACATCTAGATCTCTTGTTTTTTTTTTGATGCGTATGATTGATCAATTGCCAAAAAAAATCTACATTAGCAAACGGAGTTTTAAATTTATAACAACAGAAAATCACGATTTTTTTTTAACTGTATTAATAAAGTGCTTAAATAATTAATCAAATTCAAATGAATTTTTTTAAAAAGAACCTTTTCACATTAATGGTCAAAAAAACATGTAAACGTTAAAAATTTGCTAAAAAAGGCGAAGGCATTATTTTACGAAATATATAAAGTGGTTACATAAAATTCATTGTTTGCATACCAACACATTTCTTCAAAGATATGCAAATGCAATTATGCAACATTTAGATGCGAGAATGTGGCTCGTCTCGCGTGGAATGACTATACTCAAAGGTAGTTGTTAATCATTTCTTGGTAAAAATATGGATTATGTTTCTAAAAAGCATCATATATTTGTTATTTTGAATGCTTATTATGGGCTACAAAATCCGTGAATTAAAAACACCTGCAATTTTAAATAATAATGATATAACAATTAAACACTTCGAACTTTCACGTTGCTAAACTTTATTGTGTTCTGAACAAATATTTTGGACTTTTTTGATTTACAAAGTAAATCATAATTAGGTGAAATATACCAGAAAAGGGCAACAGCCTGGTATTGATCAAATTATATTGCATCCATATGGTGTGATGCATCTCGATTTCAATCAAAGATCAGACATCTTATATCTGACCAAAACATTGTTCTAGGTCACAACAAGGTGACACTAGCTTCAGACCTCACTGAGTACCTGTGCCTAGCTAGAAATGACAATGTAATGGAAGACGTTTGTTTCTTCAAAGACAAGGATAAGTTATAGCATGGTTCTTCGCTTCGTGAAGATACGCATCATATTTTTACAAAAAAATAGTAATCACATTAAATACCTTTTATTTTACAATAATAGCCTTTATTGAACAAATTCAAAGGTTTTATAAAAGTTAGGACAAATATAGAATATTTGATTTTGGACTTTCTATTGATCATAATGACTTGAAAATTATTGCAAGCTTGTCAAAACTAATTTTCATTGTCCTAAATTGTCCTAACTAGTTTTACCAATTTCGGTCAGCATCATTATTTTTCACTAAAATTCTTTAGAATATTAAAAGTAACGAAGGTATCCTTGCATTCGTAACAAACAGTTTCTTTAATTGCATGCATAATTAACGCTATCAAGTTTAGATGCTTATTCCATTAAGAATTTGGATCATATTAATTTAGTTAATGAAATTGCAAAAATTAAGTATTATAAATGATGATTTAGATATTACTGAAGGTGAACATGATTTTTATGAGAAGGTGTATATGAAATTGATGAAGATAATGATATGATGTTGATGATTTATAGCTATTCAATATGTCAAAAATATTTATTTGTGAAAAACTGGAATGCTTGGCAAGTTTTTATGGTTATATTAAATATTTCCATAAATGTAAATGATCTAAAATTAAAAACCGGATTTTTTTAATTAATTTCGACGATTTACCAAATGCATGCTGTATATATTACGTTATAAAATATAATGATGCAATGATTTCAAAATTCTTAGGAAAGTCTGATTTTCAAACTAATCTCACGAAATTTTATTTCGTTTTGTTATCTTTTTTTTTACACGACCAAAATTCGTCTTTTTTTTTATTTAATCAATGCATTGTATAATATATCAAACTTTTAATTTCTCAAATTCTTTTTAAAGAATCGTTATCTCATAGTTTGTATTCGAAAAATGAGAGGGAAATCAGCCTTCAACCGCGCCCCTTTGTTTTTAATAAAAAGGAAAAGGCAATTTCGTCATCAAGTCAAATTATTTATGTAATTATTAGAAGAAATTTGTTCAGAAATATAAACTAGTTTATGAAAATGGGCCCAAGGGAAATCCTAAATTAGCATAGAAAAAGGAAACTTACTTTAGAGAGGTATCAAATTCATGGAAAAAAAATGTAGTCATTTGACAATCATTAATTCACATCATTATAAATATGTGGAATTTCTTCAGTTAAAAAACGAATAATAATAAATAATTCCCAGGAATAATAACAAAATGTCTAATCAACTGAATAAAATTACTACAAACGTTAAATATTATGGAGGTGCAGCAGAAGAAGCTGTAGGCAGCGCTATCGGTAGCGATACAATAAAATTGATGGGTCAGGCAATAAAGCTCGAAGGTAAGAATCCATTCTTTATTACGCTTTTAATGTATTGATTTGCTGATGTATAACTTTTAATATAGCCGAAGGAGAATATCAGGCAAGAAGAGCGCAGGAACAGGCTGAAGGTAATCTTATAAACACACTTTTTTTTTTCTCATAACTCTTTCTAACTATAAATTATAAACTAAAAAAGAATTTGGAGATAATGCTTATCAATCGGTTAAAGGATCATTTGGTAAATTCACTGGAGGGAATAATGATGATGAAGAAGCCAATAAATAATAAATCAATATTTTAAATTATCCTTTTTCTTATTATTTTCAAAAAAGCTCATTTGTAATATTATTTGTAATTATAACATTTATAAGTAAAGCCATTTCTTAAAGAGTGCGATATCTGGTTTTTTTTTCTCTTTCATCATAAATTAGTTGTTTTATAACCTTAAACTATTTAAGGTTGGTTTGAAAATAATTTAGGTAAACGACCGACCATATTACGTATCTTTCAAAACCGAAAAAGCAGTTGTTGATGAACACCATGTTTAATTGTAATTTAGCGTAGATGATTGAGTGATGAAAAAATTGCCCATGTTTTTTATGTTTTTTATACAGCATATAAAAATAAATTTGAAAATAAATAAAATAATTTATACAAAGTAATTATAACAACAACTATATACATTAAATAAAATGCTCCTTTCTTTACTGAACCAAGATAGAAACGTTCCTCATATCTCAGCTTTGCAATGATCTATCCATTCCACAACCTGATCGATGGTATTCCTTGCCTGCTGCAATTCATCTGACAACCATTCAATGTCCGCTTCTTCGTGTTTCACCATGTTATCAGTAGTTGATATCGAATTCAGTCCCAGCTTAACGTTCTCATTATGGATGTACCTAAAGACGCAAATTCGAACAAGTTGAATGATAATGAAAATGGCAATACAAGTTTTCAAATAAATGTCAACAAACTTTAGGTCGTCCTCAAGCTCCAAATAACTTTCGAGCTTCTCTCCATCCATATAGGGATCATTGATTTTTTTTTTCAACTTATTCTTGATTTTATCCATTTTATCTTGCAGCTTAACCAATTCCACGATTACGTTTACCGCAAAACCTCTCAAGAGCATATGATACATACGCACCGCCTTTTCTCCCTTCTGCGTCACGGCACACTCCCAGTGGGCTACAACCTCGCAGAAATCTTTCACGTCATTGTAAATCTTTTCCAAGGTTTGGTCAAGAACACGTTCGCGAGATTTTTGTCGTTGCTTGTGAGCTCTGCGAAACCAGTCCTGGATCTTTTTGGCTTCTGCTTGAGCTCGGGGGGAATCCTGAATCTGGCGGAACCAAGCTTGGGTGTCTGTGGTCGGCTCTGAGGCATCCTTTGAAACAGAAAATCGCTCATCATCATCGTCGTCTTCATTGTCAACCACAAAAGCGATTGGATCAATTTTTAGCTCGGCTCGTTGCGGTAAGGATTTATATGCTGGGACACCGGTCTCGGCACTTCTCTCAATAACAACTGGGGATTTAATTCTCAAAAGAGAATCTCGGAATCCTTCATTAGATGTATATTTAAGTATCATGACTCCTGATTTTTCCAATTCGGCAAACCTCGACACGCCTCCCCATTGGTATTGGACTATAACTAAGGAATCGCAGCCCGTCTCTTTGAGGTCGTCTTTCAGAATGTTCACAAGGCGTGCCATATGGCTCTCCTCCATGTATTTCTTGATCTTTATATTTATAAAAGTAAATTTGTTGTTTAGGTGTTTGAAAAGATTAAATACCCTTGTCGCAAAAGTGGGTTCGTTCCTGCCAACAAGAACTAAGAGACGTATTAGCCGAAGGATGATCATTTGATATTGATAGATCCGTTCATAATAGATCAAGTATTCGAGAAGTTGTTGAACTTGTTCTAAAGAATTTTTAACTGCAGCATTATAATTCTCCCTGTCGTATGATCTTCGACGATCCGGAATGAGTGGCACCGTAGTAAATGCTTCAAAATAATTAACAAGATAAGCCCGAGGTAAACAAAAATTGCAATACCCAGGAGCGACCGCGAAAACCAAAGACACTTTGAATTCCACAAGAGATACCAGGTCAGAAAAAGCATCAGTTGTAATTATGTTTACTCTTTCAGCGTGAATTATAGCGTATTGAATAAATTTTTTTATGTGCATGATCGCTTTGATTACGCCATTATAATGATTAGAATGAAGCCAAGAAAAGAATGATGAAAGTCGCTTTCCAACTGGAATCGCTTTAGGATATCCAAAGTAATCATAACCGACGGGTAAATCATTAGGGTGTGAAAGCTCTATTGTTTTTGACATCTCCCAATCAAACTTATCAATGCACCATCCGTCACGCAACTGTTGAAAAACGAACATACATTTTAACATTACCGCGAAGTTGTTGGGTTCATTGCATAATTTTCCTAGCCATATCTTATCAGCGGTTTCGATTAATCCATACCACGTATGATTGGAAAGCACCATATTAGTGACCTCTGGACAACTTGTCTGCGGGGACTGATAACGAATATGATAATTAATCAATCTTTCGGTCCACCACCTTTCTACGGGACGAACTTCTTTACTTTGCTCTTCTTTAAGAAGTCGGTAATGGTATAATAAATCCCACTGTCGCACCACGGTGTATTGGAGACATGCAAGCGTAAGGCGTTGGTACAAAATCGATGGTGACGGAACTGCGTGATGTTTTCGGCAATCCAACTTTTGGCAGGATGTTGTTGCATCTTTACAGATATAATTACCTATGTATGGAATATCTCTACCCTTCTGGTTAAGATTCCAGAGGAGCTCGTATATATATGATACGATTAATTCTGAGATCGCATGGTGCACAACTTCCACATCGTATACATGCCAGTAGTCCGTACTTTCTACCGTATCCTCGTCAATTAGATGAACAAGCGGGTTGTCAAAAGAAATTTTCCGTTTCTGCACACGGTCTTTCACTTCGCTCACAACAAAAATGTCCTCGAATTCCTTGCGGATAATCGAATTGTTAACATTTCGACGTGGATCTATATAAGGAAAGGCCAAGTCTTCGCACAACCTCAGCAAACACTTCAATCGTTCATGCCAGTACTCAAACTTGATATCGGATCGTTGGGGAATCTTCAGCCAAATATTAATTGCACGAAATTCATCAACAAATTTCTCGCGTTTTCTGAAAGATTGCATGCATTTGTGGACTATACTGAGATCCTCTACTAAATAAGCGTCGTATAACCGAAATTCTTCCATCAGGATCTTCCATTGCTCAGACTTCTTCAACGACTTTGACAATTGTGATTCTATCTTATTGAGAGTCTCAGATGCCGCGCAAATGATATTGCGTAACTCTGTGTTATTTGGATTCATGGTATCTGTCATTGTACTTTTCAGAACATTTACCCTGCATAGATGTAAAAAGCACTGTATAGCTTCGATTACATCTTCATCCTTAAAGCCCGAACGAATGAACATATCCGCAGCTTCTTTAAACTTTCCACGCGAGTGCAGATCTTCAGCAGCGTCGCGAAATTGACCATTCTTTTCACAAACCTCCAGAAACTCTTCTGGTGCATGGTCTTTTAGGAGCTCAATTCGCTCCTCTTGTGTTGGAATAATGGAGAGTGCCTTCTCGCTCATCACCTTGTTGTTCTCCCGACGATAATAGATGTTAACAAGACGGGTAACACGGTGAAATATTTTCTCATCAATTTCTTTTCTATGCCTAATAATAATAAATATGACAGATATACGATTATACCCTTTATTTGAAACATCCTTGTTGTAGCGGCATTAATTGCAAATTATTATAGAATCACACCAGAAACTTACCTTTGCATCAAATCGATTACTTCTTCATAACGACCACCACTTTTATAGGCAACGACAGCGTCAGTGTACTTTTTTGCCTTTTCATAATACTCGCCTGCCTCACGAAACATTTTGGCCTTGTTATAACAAAGAGCAGCGGGTTCGTACATGTCCCATTCGGCATATACCTTACCAGCTTCTTTATACATGCTGATATCCTAGTTATTTACAAATTTGTAAGCATCAATTTGAAATTTCAAAAACAAAACTCTCGAGATAAATCTTTACCTTGTAGCATGAAGCAGCCTGAGTGGGTCGGGAACACTTTTCAAAGGTTTGAGCAGCAATAATGAAACTTGACTTTATGGTATTATCATCAGAATTATTTACAGAATCCCTTGCAATCTGTTGAAGATAATATGCATTGGCTAGCTTATAGCTCTCCTCGTTTCCGCTCTTTTCGAAACAGAACATTGCCTAAAAATAACATCATTTATTTGGTTGAATACAGTAAATCTTAAAAGCCATTATACAAAGTAATTAAAAATCTAAACCTGTTCATATTGTCGCAGTGCAAAAAAATTCCTTCCCTGTTGATCCCACTCGTGTGAAGTGCTCTTTTTGGCCAAAGTGGAAAAGGTATTAATTTCGTCTACATCTTTAGTAACCTTAATCAGCCCGTGGTGCTCCCAGTACATGCGGATTGGCGTGCTATATTCAGCACTTTCATCGCATATCCAGATATGCTGCCGAGCTCTGGTCACGGCGACATAAAGGTGTTTAAGCTCTGAGGAAAGGATGTAATGTTTCTCGTGAGAAAAGGTCTGAATCCCTTCAGATTTATCATTCAAATCGGAACGAATTACTCGCCACTAAAGCAGTATACATTAACTAAGAATTTAATATGTGATCTGTAAGATCGTTGAAATAAAATCATATTATTCATACCTTTAGACGCGCAGGTGAATCTGTAAAGAAATTATACAACAGCACATCGCTAAATTCCATGCCCTTGGCCTCGAATACTGTCATTACTAGTCCAGCTTTACCAATTAGGTCTTTCAATTGCAATTTGGCCTTGTCGTCACGTACGATAATCACCTGTTCTGCACCAAATTCGATATAATTTGCCATGCGTTCACCCGCAGAGAAGACTTTAAAATATTCTTTTTGAAACCCCTCAAAGACGATAGGCCGTGGACCGCCGATTTCACCGCGCTCGCGCGACAATCGGTCAATAGATTTAGGAAAAAAGTGCCAGATTAGATCGATTACTGAAGAGGCAAGTTTAAGGATCCCGTCATGAGAACGGTAGTTAACATTTAGTTCAAATTGTTTTGGTTTTGCAATTCCGCGCTGATTCTGCTTGGTTTGAATCCGAGAAAGTTCCCATTGATACATCAAGGCGCGCAAATCTACATTATAGGAAAATTAAGAAAGTACAGGTAATAAGTATCGATTTTTATTCTTAAGGAATATTCGTTTGTACCTTGAAATCGGAAAGAAGATCCTCGAGCAATACATTGTGCTATATCTCCAGCTAAAAAAACGGCGTCAACATTGTCAAAGACCTTCAAAATAAGGGCAAAGTCCACGATTTGGTTATCCTGACATTCGTCAATGTACACTTCATGAATATGTGGACCTCCAAGTGACTTTTTTTTGGCACAACGTAAGATTGCTAGAGTTCTGCGAAAAGGATCCCAAACAAGTTAAGCTTAAATATATCTAACCAAAAACAATGTTATTATTTGATCTTACCGGTCCATCGAATCATAATCACCATTCCGTGCTTTCATCTTTTCATATTGTTGAAATAGATCATAAATTTGATCACGGTTCTGACAAAACGCTGGGAATTTCTTGGTACTAATTTCCCTATAATCTTCTCTTGATAAGCAATCCATTTCGGGATTTGAACCCTTAAGAATTTTTTAGAAAAAATAAAGGTCGTAACAGAAATTTCTATAAATATAGATTGGTTAAAAGGAAACAATTTTATATATTTGCTCAAAAAAAAAAAAAAAAAAAAAAAAAAAAAGCTCGATTGCTGATTGATTCCATTAATTCTATATAATTATATACCTTAATTATAGAAAACTCGGCGTAAACTAGTTCGCAATCTAGTTTCCGACTAAAATCATTGAAGCGAGGCCAATATTTTTTATGAAAAAGATCATAATTCACAAAATGTGCCCATGATGAGTCGGTTTTGTTAAAAAATGAGTATGTTTGATAGGATTCCTCATCATTATCCTCATATGAACCAGTGATATCTGCATCTGGCTTTTGTTGTTTGGTTAACTTTCGAACATCAATATCATAAGTTCCTTGAAGCATTTTAGAGAACTTATCGTAAGTAATAAATAATGGGAAATGATGATCCGTCAGATGGCGGAATGAATTCGGAATGTCACTAAACTCCTGTTCCTCATCTCCCTCTTCTAACATTATATGATTGGTTAATTCAACATCACCTCCTTCCTCCTCCTTTTTCCTAATGTGTTCATGAAACTGCTCCATAGACATCTTTTTTCCAGCAAGTACTGCAGACTCCCGCAGTCTGTTAAAATATTCCTTTACCCGGCGACACAAATTGTGACTAACTGTAATAAATATCTGTCTTTTGTAAAATTCTCTATCATTATCACGAGAGGATGGCTTCTTATAGAGCTGGCTATTTAAGAATGAAGCGATCTGTCTAAAGACGATACACGTAGTCTTGCCAGTCCCTAGATATCAGATGCGTAAATAAAAATAAATAACACTGTTACAAAATTAAACTACATTACTAACCTGATCGACCAATTATGATTGCTGATGAAGGATTGTTGATGATTTCATACTCTTTCTTGGATACTTGGAAAGTAAAATCAAAACCACCCAAGATTAGCGACTTGTACAAGTTCTGCGAGCAAGAATGTTATGACATCTATTAGTATGAATCTTATATCTCAACGAAACTATATAATGCGTAATTTACCGTTGATAAGGGAACAAATTTATTCGTAACTAGCATTTTATGAACCTCTAGTAACTTCTCATCATCTATTTGTGAGCTTTTCAAATTGTCTTCAGAAGACTTTATTTCCTCATCATCGAATTTCATTGGTAAAATTACATCATCCTTGCCCACGTTTTCGATTGTACACAAATGACTGTGCTTGGAAGTATAAACTTGATGAACTATCGAGAGGTTTTCTAATATCTTGTCAATTTGCTCTTGAACGGCAGTAACAGCCCAAACCTTAACAAGTTGCATGATTGAATAGCTACGAACAGAGAATCCATAGTCAACCTGCCAGAGAATCTTCAAACCACCATTATCAGGGAGTACTACCTCATATACAGGAATGTTGTGTTTTTCCACCATATGTCGCAGTTGATACCATTTCCCAGATGATATCTGTCCAAGTTTCTTCATGATTTCCTTAATAACAAGAGGCGACTCCAATTGTCGCATATCTTTGATTGTGTCTTCACTAAGCAGGATATCCCACGGTCCAAGCTTGTCATTATCATCAAATTCGAATGGAAGGCGAAAAAGGCGTTCAGGTGGTCTTGATGTGGTTTCATCATCAGATTCTTCTTCCGAAAAATATTTGTCGGGAAAAAAAGAAATCAGGGCTCGTTTATGGCAATTTGCGCATGGTAAGAATCCCAATAAATCCTAAGCGACGTTTTGATATATCAATTTACCAAAATATCAATAATGGAAGTTGCATTAAATTCATTTGGATCAAAACTGAGAAAATTTACCCGAAATAATTCTATTTTCCGTTTTTCAAGTTCTCGCAATAAGTTGTGCAAATCTGATTGCTTTTGAGGTACCGCCATTTCTAACAGATTGAGGTACTGTTCATCTTGAATAGACATGGACACTGAGTTCGCTGAGTTGCTATGGGCGCTAGTGGCTGCTCGCTTTCTGTTCCAATGTTGAGACCTAGATTCCTTATTATTAAACTTAACCATATCATTTAACATGGGAGGTAATGAGTTTTTCCTGCTAACCAACAAGATTTTTTCCTCATTTTGACGACACTTTAGACTTTCTAACAAAGCTGTGCAGGCCTTATACGCAGAAAAACTCTGTTCCTGACGAAGCGAGACTTCCTTATGTTCAGAACATTTTTCCACAAGAGCTGCGACTATGTCCACTGAACTAAGAAGTTGTTCTTGCTCAATTTGGTTGATCATTTTGAAATCGAACAGAATGCGTTTGAAACAGCGGCGACCTGGAGGAGATGTTACCAAAATTCCTAGGACACGCGCGTCTAGGATTGCTTTGAAAATTCTTTTTGTCGTATAGAAGAATAAATTGAGCCCATTGTTTCCTTTATTATCGGTTAAAGAGCCAGGCTTATCATCCCGTACTTTCCAGAGAAGTTCGATGCAATTATGGAGAAGCTCTCCAAATCCAGGAGTGTCGGAATGATTCAGGTTCTGCATGATGACATCGGTGATCAACAGCGAGGCAAAATTGCGAATTGTGACAATCAATTTTGCCTGCGAATTTAGACGTAAAGGTTCATCGCAGATGCGAGAAGTGAAGAGTTTCAAGGTTGGAATATAGATACAAGAGTTGCTCAACTCGCCAACGAACTCCTCCAACTCCGATCTAGATGCATTGAGACATCGTTCCAGCAAAACGTTCTGTATATGTACATCATCATTCTGTGGGTCTGTGAGGTCATCCAGAAGTTCAATCAGAAGCTTTCCATTCATCAGCGTCTGTATCTCTTTCTCTTTTGTTTCTATTGTTGTCAATACCATGAGTATATGTAATTGATAGGTTTTTGAAACCTAAAGTTCAAGTTGATATAGGATACAAAAGGAATTATCTTTGGAAAATTTACAATTACTTTTACTTTCAACCTTATGATACTGATGAAGTTTATTCCTTTTCTAAACAGAAAAACAAGTGAGAAAAGGTTGATTTTTATGTGAAAAACAATTTTGTAGCTAAAAATAATAATTATTGGTAATACAGATAATCAGAAGACCATGCTAACATGCAAGAGTTTTTCCATGATGATCAGAATGTAGTTCATCGTGTAACATTTGTGGGAAGATTTCATTACAAATGAATCTTGAATATAAATCAACTTTATTTTACCAAGCTTTTATTCAAACTCAAAATATTGGTCTTCAATTTTTTTTACCACTTTAAAAATCAATTGAAGGATACGCAAGAAATTCATATAAAGGAATTAAACCAATTAAAACATAAACTAACCGAATTACTATCATAGTGTTGACCCTGATGAAAAATATCCTTTACGATGAATTTTCCTTTTAAAGGGAAAATAGCGATCATATCAAAATTTTACGCCACCAAACAAAAAAAAATTCACAAACTCATTACTACTTTATTGAAATATAAAGAGAATAAACCATTTTGTAATTATATTTTTTAACCAATAATTATGTATGATCATTATGATGATGATCATTTCGTAACTAAGTATATCTCTTCCATAAAAAATTGAATTCTTATTATTAATAAAACAATCATCATCACAATTCATTTTTAAATTTACTTATATTATTATCGCTCCTGGTATCAATTATTATTGCAAATACACCATCTTCATCACCTCATTATTATTTTCATTTGTACTTTTATGATCAAGGTATATTAAAGTGTCTTTCTTAAATGGTACCAACGATCCACTATCTGATAAATCATCATAATCCCGAGAGTCTATATTTTTTTGTGGTAAGATTGAATAATAAGGAATATGCACATGTGTTGAAGATAACATTTTATGTGTCCTTTAGTAGTTTGAGTTGTAAACTATTACCAAGCATATTCCGAGAAGGGAATAAAGGATAATTTTCTTTATGATACAGTCACATCTCGATATAACGAAGTTGCCGATCCAGCCGATCAGGACTTCGTTATAAGAATCTTCGTTATAGCGTTAACAAATTATTCGTTATAGTAGATGATTACTGATTTCATTACACAAATATAATTTTACTATGATATAATTTTTCC